TACCCAGCTGAAAAATTGCTATTGGTTTTCATTCAGAGGATCACTCGGCTCCTGTGAGACAAAGAACAACCATTTTTAATGAAATAGGACAGAATTGGTTTTCCCCACTGTTCAGTATCAGTTCTGATAGATCTCCCTGTAAATCCCTCCCAGTACATGCCCTGCTGTCTTTCTCAGTATTATTCTTGTACCCTGAGGGTCGATATCCTGCCAAGTGATATTTGTTTAAAATTCTCGAATGCACAAATTTGGCACAAAAACTGGGGCAAAGGGCATCCCCCTGGTTACTGCAGCTGGGTGGAATCTTCCCTCCTCAAAGTCCAAGATCCATTTACATCAGTTCATTTAAGCTGCAAAACAAAATGAACTCTTCCTGCTAGGCTTGCTCAGGCAGACTAATAAATGCAACGGGGAGCGCTAACCAGAAGTGCTGTACAACGTAATCAACTGTTGAAGGCACAAGCAGTTTTTCAGCTTGTATCAAGACTGATTCACTTGTAGCTGACGTCAATTCTCCCTCCCTACTATCTTAGCCTTGGGATTGGAGTATGATAAATATTACCTGTAATGCCATCTGCTGTACAGAGACAGCCCAGGCTTCTCACTATTTATTTAAGGGCTAATGTTGTGCTAGACCAGAATGCAGTTTATTTCAGCCTTATTTGACTTTGTTTTGACTCTAATTAAAAATGTCTGTCCACTTGAATTTTTAAAGTGATCTGTCATAGAGCAAAACCAATGTTTGCCTTGAAAAGATGAGAAAGTTCAGACAGCATAGTTGGCATCAAACAGAAAACTAATGTGAAAAGGATGATGATACCAGACTTCTCCACATGGGAGAGTCAAGAGAAGATGCAGAGTCAGAAGATCACCATCTCAGGATGGGGAACTAGGACCTCCCAAATCCTAGCTGTCTGAAATCCTGGAAAGCTGATTTATTTTGTGTGTCAGTTTCTCCCTCAATTCCTTTAGAACCTCACCCAAGTCATACAGCCTCTCTATAAAATACAAAATATTGTAGTTTAATGGTGACTCTGACTTTTGGTCAGTGGTAAAATTGTTTTGAATGGCATCAAGCTGAAAATACGTATTTAGATCAAGTAATACAAATACAAAACTGTTTCCTCTTAGGATTTTCTCCTCATTTTAGAAGTTTAATGTAACAGGAATTATACCACTTCCTAGAGAAGCTCTTTCATGATAGTAACTCTGTCGAGCATTTTTTATCACTAAAAACTCCCCAACACTAAAACCGGAGTCAGTTAAAAGCTTTGCATATGGTGTGTTCAGAAAGAGCAGCACACATTCAGCCAACAAATAGCTTGAACACCTCATCCATCATAATTTACGAAGACCATGGTTATTAAGCTAATTTTACTCTGAGTTAGTTTAAATGTCCAAAAATAAAATTGAACTGTTTAATCAAAAGGATATGTGTCCATGGGCAGAATTTCCGTCATTGACCCGCTGCAGAGAAACATGTTGACTTTTCCAGTTTACTCACTTAGATTTGCATACTCGTAGCTATGTTCGGGACAGATACTAGTGCACTATTCCGAAAGCTCCAGTGTCTCTAGTTCTGAGGAACACCAATAATTTTGTATGTGTAAAAGTAATGAAATTATTTACATCTCATGTAATTTTAAAAGGGAAGGGCTGTGGTGAAAGTTATACAGTTAAAAATGTAAATTTAACTGAATTATTAAAATAAGCTTGGATGAGAGAAACTGAAATATAAGTAGTGCTTTTTGCTTAGTCTTAGCATTTCATAAAAGACATCTGTGTTAGTTTTATTTGTGTTTTTAATCAGTTACTTCCCCTGGTTTTACTGTACTTGATGGGACTTAATCCTTCAATGTTTGGATTGCAAATGCCATGCTATAATGCTTAAATGCACATCAAAATCTTGCTGCTTAAAATATAATTAAAATAATATACAGTAAATCCCTTAACATATTTTTTAATAGACAGCAATCTACTGCATCTTAAACTGCTTGAATTTTCATTTTATAGGACCTCCCACACGAGGATCACAGTGCCCTTTTTAATTATTAATTCACTCATGTTGATAGGATAAACTAAAACCTCTGTGATGGAGAACATGCATTATTTATTAATGTCCTGATCTTGTCCTACACACTGTGGAGTTTGCTCTTTGGAACCTGCTTCAGAAGTCTAACTTTAATAAAGAGGAAACTGAAGTGACACAACAGCTATGTTAGTCCTACTCTTCTTTTACAGCAAGTATCGGAGATGGGTTTTGGTGAACTCTTGGTCTGAGTAAAGCCCCAACTTTTTTTTTTTTGGGGGGGGGAAGTCATAAGAAAAACAGATTAATTACATTATACTTTGCTATTGAACAGTTGCCCAGATCTATTCTATTTCAATGGCAGATGCAGTAAGAAATACCTCCTTATTCATCCAGCTCCTGCCCACATGCGTTCAGGGTGCAATCTGTGCTTGGGAATAGCTCGCAGATTTCAGCAAGGCTTGGTTTTCATCTAGGAGTCTGGTCCTCTGTGCACCATCAGCTTTGCAAAGTAATTCTGGATGCAGAAAGAATGTATTAAATTATATTTTCCCTTGTGCATTGTCAACAGCCCTTTTTACTAATTTTAAATGCGTCAGAAATGTGTAAACTAACAAGTAGGGGTGCTTTAATATTAATTATCTCATCTCATGACACTGCAGTTGAACAAGTGATACAGAAGACAGAATATGACCAATGATGATAATAAATAATTGAAATACTGAATAATAAATAATTTCAAAATATTGAAAACAATAGACTAAGCACCACTCTCCCTCCAAGCCTGCAAACTAAATTCCAAGTTTCAAAATTTGCAGGACTTCTAGGTAGGAAAAACATCTTCATCCTTGTTAACTGACCATATGTAGTGTATGGGAGATTAGTCGAGGAAGTTCAAGGGACTATAAGCCCCTAAATCAGCTTCACCCAGAGGGATGTCTGATCTCAAACACATGGCAGCAAAGGAGAGAGCAGCCACATGCTCAAACTGTTCCTTCCTGCAGGCTTGCCTCTCCCAGCTGGGACAAGCACCACAGCAATTACAAGTAAAACTCCAAAATCTGTTTTACTTTCCCTCAAGCAAGAGGATGCAGAAATTTCACTCACTCAATAGTGACAAAAGTAAAGAGCTTCACTTGCCTTTTAACAGGCAGGAAAACAAGCCTCCTTTACACAGGGGACTGGTCCCTGCCTAAGGCCTCCTTCTTCTTGAAGCTGCAAGACTTCTAAATCTGCTAGCTGCGAACAGGTCCTCAGCTGACTTCTACAACCTGTGCCTCTCTGCTTTATTAAGCAGGGCCAAAGACACTAGAGCTTTCAGAGTAGTGTACCAGTATCTATCCTGAACATAGGTGCGAATAGGCAAATCTAAGGGACTAAACTGCCAAAGTCAACATGTTTCTCTGCTGTGGGACAATGAAAGATACTGCTTTTTAAAGACTCCCATGATTTCCTCCAAATATAGGCACATATACTCTTCTATGGCTGCAGCCAGTCCTGGCACAGCCTTAGTGAGAAGCAAAAAGGAGTCCTATGACGCCATTTCTACAGTCACTTTTCAAAATGGAAGTGTACTTGAAGTTACTGTTATTCTTCAAGCCTGAAAAAAACCCCAACACTAGTAACATCATTTAGGACACCTTCTTGAAAGGAGATGCATGAATGTTTCCAACTGAATCAAAATAATCTCAGAAACAGCAAAGAAACAAAGAGACTAAACACATCAGTTCTTCTTCCCCAAGGAAGAAGGCAAATACGGTAACTTTTGGTTACGTTTGTTTTAACAGAAGGAATGAAGAATGGAGACCCAGGTGAGACTATTATTGCATGTAAGGCACACAAAGGTCTGAGGTACAATGGAGTACGCTGGATTCTCACCTTCATGTCACTGTGTCCTTAGAAGAATGCGGGCTTTCCAAGGGGAAGGATGACTCCAGGGTTTTGCCACGTGATACGGAGCTATTTCAAATCCATCCTAAGTTACCAGCTCTTTGATAATATCAAATGACCTTGGTAGCCTTGTACTGTGTGAGGCAGACAATAGTCTGGCTTGCGTAACTCATCAACACCTTTGCGAATAATTGGCTCTTGTGCAGCAGAGGACAGTGCGAAGAAGTGACAAAGGTGCTGTGTGCACTGTGGAATTATTTCAGTTTTCAACAGAAGCTGGAACACGTCCAACGTACTAAATTTGCATGCTGGCATGAAGTTGCGCTGTTCAGATGTTGCGACTGGCATGGAGAGCAGTCAAGTGTATTAAGCATAAAAGAGAACGTGCCCTCTTGTGGTCTTAAAGCTATTGTCAGCTTCCCTTCAAGATGATAGGAATGCACCTGGTCGGGAAAATAAGAAACACTGTGTAAGGACGTACTTGTCAGTTTGATGCAGGAACAAACATTGTAAAGTTGCTTTTGATCAGATAATGCAGAAACAAACTTCAGCAAGTTTAATTTTAAAGTTATCTCTTGGTTGGAACTGAAGCCTGGATGTTAACGTTTGTAAGATAACCATAAGGAACCTTGATAATTTAGTCACTCTCTAGCTCAGTTTTTCAGAATTAGTATAAAAATACCTGTATATATTGCAAGATTACCAACAAGATTAATGAATGAATATGCACACTGAACACTAAGGACCCATGGCATTTTCAAAAGGAGAAAAGAATTGGTAAGACTTTAAAAATTAGTTTAAGAAAAGCAGATTACTAAAAACAAAGTTGCAAAAATACATTAAACATAGGATTTTATAGCTCACAAGGGGCCATTACCCACATTTGGTTTGTGTATGGCCTTCCAAGAGCATTTTTGCCCAAACCACGTATGCGGCTTACACTTAGGTCGCTACGTCTTAAACCTTTTCCTCTTGCCCTTGGCTTGGTACCGGGGGGCTACTGACTCCCGGATTACCACCACCATGCTGGGCTGTCTCTGAAGGGGCTGGGTGGCACAACCAGGTGCCTGAGACCACCACGATGGCCGAGGCGAGGCGAGGTGAGGCGAGTGGGGCGGCCTCGCAGGAGGCCACGTCCAGCCAAAGGCCCAGCGTGGTGTGTGGCCTCACTCCAAGGCTCCCTGCGCTGAGGGTGGCGGGAGACGTCAGCCAGACACGACCGCAGCGCTGCCTCACCAGGGCGCGGCCTCCCCTCGCCGCCCGCCATGGCGCCCGGGCTGCACGACCCCCTTCCCATCATCCTCCGCGGCCGCAGACCCCTTGTTTCCCGTGACGCCCCGGGGAGGGGCGGAACACGCCCTTCCCGTGATGCTCCGCGTTCCCTGGTAACCGCGCCGTTGCTACGGGCGGCCCGGGAGCGG